CCTAAATGAACTTATTTATGCTTGCATGACTCATGTGTATGTGTATGTGTGTGTGTGTGTGTGTGTGTGTGTGTGTGTGCATGTGTGTGTGTTCAAGTGTAATTTCTGCTACCCAAATATTCTTACATATGTAGCCTTCCAACAGAGCTTGGCAACTGATCAGGGGCTGCACACTTAGAGATAACTGAACCTTATTCTCCCAGAAGTTAAGAACTGGCAAAAGCTCTGCAGGTAGGAATGGGATTTCATACCCAACTCCCCTCTCCATGCTGGAATATTGCTCAGTCATCTTCTGGATTTCACTGCAACCTGCTGAAATGGCATTTTTTCATGTTTAATTTTATTAATTCATGTCTTTTTCTTTATTTTGTGTCTTGCTTGCTTGCTTGGCTTTTTATTATTGTTATTATTATTATTATTATTATTATTATTATTATTATTATTATTATTACTTTGAGACAAGGTCTCATTGGTCCCAGGCTGGCCACATACTCTCTATATAGTCAAGGGTAACCTTGTCCTTTTTATAGCCTTCCTCTGCATCCCAAGTGTTAAGGTTATAGTTCAATTATCTACGTATTTTTATAGCTACTTACATCTCCAAAATGCTCAGTCTATTCATTTACACATGGGGCTTCCTAGACAGCAGGACCTGGTTCAGTCCACAGGCTGATCCGCCCTCTCACTGCTCACCCCGGTAAACTGCACTTCAGATTCCCAACCACCCAGGGGAGTGAGGATTTGAAGTATGGGGTAGATTCTACATGTTGAGGCATTTGAACTGCTTTTCAGTAAGGGAGGGACAGGTGTTGCCAGCAGAGATGAGGTTTGAATTTTGCAACTTACTTCAGACACATCTGGAAAATGGTGGTGGAGTTTAAGCGAGAACCAGACCTGCTCTTGGTGTAGGAGGGTCTTCTGTCTATGTGTTACTTTCATTGGTTAAATAAAGAGACTGCCTTGGCCTTTTGATAGGGCAGAAAATTAGGTGGGCAGAGTAGACAGAACAGAATGCTGGGAAGAAGGGAAGTGTGGCAGATGCCATGGCTCTCCTCTCCGAGACAAACGCTGGTTAGACTCACTCTGGTTAGACTCACGCTGGTTAGACTCACGCCGGTAAGCAAAAGTCAAGTAGCAATACACATTAATGGAGATGGGTTAAAATAATATGTAAGAGTTAGCCAATAAGAGGCTAGATATAATGGGCCAGGCAGTGTTTAAATGAATACAGTTTCTGTGTAATTATTTTGGGTAAAGCTAGCAGGAAGTGGCCCGCAGCTCCACTTTACAACATGCTCTAATCTCTTCTTTGAAAGAACTGCTCCAACTCCTGTGAGGGGAACTAACAAAAGATGTGACTGAAGGGGAGAATGACAACAACCCTCCTGAGTTTGAGGAAAATTTTCAGCAAAAGGACATAAAATACAGATAAGTTATCTCACCTAGGATTTATTCTAAAGGTGATATCAAATGGAATTGCAAAGAGAACATTCCCATGGTAATAGGAATTAAAAGATATTTTTATAACTAGCTATTAAAAGTAATTAAGAGAGAAAAAAATGAAAGAATTATATAATCTTAACTGTGGCCAGATCGTGACTATATTTGGCAGTCTTTGGGAAAAGTGATAAAATTCAAAGCTTTTAGGGTAGCCACAGCCTAGTCTGAATGGTCCTTGTAAGACTCAGATAACCTAACACAGACAGAACAGAGATGCACATGCATAGAGCAAACACATAAACATCACTCTAGACTCTAAGCATGGAGGCCTCTGAGGAAACAGAGCTTTCTTGCAAAGTAATCCTGTCATTTGAGCCTCTAACGCATGTGAAATGAACTGCTGTTCTTCCTTCACTCAGTCTGTGGGATTGCATCATCTTCTTCACATCATTTTGTTTGTTTTGCTTTGTTCTGCTTTCAGCAGCCACAGGAAACTAATACAGAAAAGGGTAGGGGCGTGAGGGAAGGAAATTAATAATTCTATCTGTAGCATGTTGCCTTTGAAATAGATTTGGAAGGCAAATGACAGCTAGAGGATTTCCATGGTCCTACGTGCCGAAGTGCCAGCTACATGGTGCTTGTAACTTCAACTTCATTCTTCCTAACTCAGTTTTCTGTGTCAGCTTTTCTCTGTATTTTTATTATCTCCTATGAGTTCATAGCTCATAATTCTGTTCTACGACACATTAATCTCTTCACTCATTGTTGGCAGTAGGGAAAAACTGGGAAGGACTTGAACTGAGTGACATTTGGCAGACTCACATAATATCACTTGGGAACCAGGAAAAGATGGGATATAGTGACTTCCCACAGAGCTGCCATATCAAAGGTCACCCATACAACATGAGCAAGTCTGCCTGGCTCTCTCCTTCATCCTTCCTCTGGCTAATTTCTCACCTGAAGAACTACTGTGTGTCCCTGGCCAGGATCACTCATCTCCAGGTTTCCTCCCATGTTGTATCTTGGACCAAGTACTTTGATTCTATCTCCTGAAAACCTCGTAGCTTTTCACATAATTAGAAAAGAATTATCATCTTCTAATAGATCTCTCTTTAGAATAAACTATGCTCATTCTGTGGAAATCATCACTGTCTCTCTCACCTATCAAGGGTCAAATCATAAGAGACAATCCAGATTGCTAAAGAAGCCCTCTTTTACTAGTCTTTGCACCATTTAAAAAAGACCCAGAATTGATTCTCACAGGCAGAGCCCAGGACCCATAATTCACACTGAGATAGGACAGTTCTTTTATAATAATCACCAACATGGCCCCACCCACCTGCGACCAAACCATACATAACCTACAGTCCTGGACAGATCTATAAACCTCTGCAACATTCCCAAAGTATGAAACAGGAAGCACCTGCATTCAGTGATGGTTTGCATCTTTCAGGGTAAAGAGAAGCAGTAAATAAGTAGGTATAACAGATTCCACAGCCATTCAAAGGAAAATGATTAGTTTAGGTGTCCAAGTGTACAAAGAAATGTTTGATAATCTAAACATTTGTTATCCCCGTAGATAACTGCCTAGTCACAGATAGTGCATTCTGCGGTGTGCAATGTTTAAGGCAGAGATTCACAGCTAGTCAAAGCATTGAGTGACTCTGCTTGCTCAGGTCTAAATGGGACAACTATACCCACTACTACCTCAAGACTCAAAACATCGCAGAAGAGGGGGTAAATGAAGATAAGATCTGGAGGAGGGGGAACAGTGCTGTGAAACAGTCTTTGGCATGTGATGTGACAGCTGCACTCAGGAACTCAGAGCAGACATGGATCTGTTGAGGACCTGCACGGTGACAAGACAGCCAAAATGGCAGCACTGATGAGACCTCATGAGACCTGCCCCCAGATGAGAATCTACTGGCAGCCGATGGTTGTGGGGGGAGGATGACCATTTTCTTTGGGGCTTTAGTCATTGATGGTTGTCCATGCTCAGTTAATGGTCCCACATGCATGTGTATACAAACAACTCCAATTAGATTCTGTGGGTTATTAAATTTAAAAAACACAAAGAAATAAAAGAAATAAAACATGAAGCTAAGAGGGAGATTGATGTGCGAGTCCCCTCTGTGTGCTGTGATTACCATTAATGAATAAAGAAACTGCTTTGGACCTATAGCAAGGCAGAACTTAGGTAGGCAGGGAAAGCGAGGCTGAATGTTGGGAGAAAGAAGGGTGAAGTCAGGGAAAAGTCATAGATCCTTTGCCTGAGACAGACACTGAAAACATTACCCAGTAAGCCACTGCCACGTGGCAATGCACAGATTAATAGAGATGTGTTAGTTTAGGATATGAATTAGCCAGATATACGCTTAAGCTATTGGCCAAACAATATTGCAAATAATACAGTTTCTGTGTGATTATTTTGTGGCTAGGCAACTTGGACCAATGAGCAGCCTCCTCCCCCAACAAGAGATGTTTTAGGTGAGGACTCCAGTGGAAGATGGAGGAAGAGAGGAGAGATACAACCAAAATACAGTGTTTTAAATTCTCAAAAAGTAAAAATATTTAAAAAATAGACTTTAAATACCTTACTAGATGCTTAAATATAAAACTATCTGTAAAACTGTAGTTCAAAATGAAGCACAAAATATAAGAAAACTCTACTATAAAATTATTATAAATTCTACTGCCTAACTGTACATCAACTGTTTCTGTCTTTGATTTTGTGAGACAGATTCCCACTCCGTGACACAGACTGGTCTACAGCTCATCATGGAATTCAGGCTTGCCTTGAACTCACAGCAACCTTGCTGCCTCAGGATCCCAGGAGATGGCATGATACAAGTATGCCATCACACCTAACTAGCTGTTGTTTCTAAACTACCCCAAACAGCACTGGTTCTCCAAAATAATACTGCACAAACTGCTGGAGCCAGAAGGCAGGATTTTCAACCTGATGTTTAACATTTAATTTTCTTAATTATTATAAGCCATTTTTACACAGACATCTGTGTATCTTCATACAAAACTCTAGTGAAATTGTATATTTTTTAAAAGCCAGCCTATGATGTGTTTCTACCCTTCATTGAGTCAGCCTGGGTGGAGATTAATATGTCTGTCTTGTCTGATACAAAATCTCCCACAAAATAAGCACCTAAGCCAAGAACCCAAGACTACTTGACATTAGGAAGTTGCGGATGCAAATCAGTTGACATTAATTACATTTTTAGTTGTGGGGTGGAAGAGGCCACAACATGCATGTGGAAGACAGGGGAGAACTTGTAGGAACCAATTCCCTTCTCCACCATGTTGGTACCAAAGATTGAACTGGGCTGTCAGGCTTGGTGGCAGGTGCCTTTACCCACTAAAGTCATCTCACCAGTCCACTAGCCATTTAATTTTAGATATACTGGACTGCCAACTGGGAACACCACAAATACTAGATCCTGATGTGTATGAATAGTATGTTCCAGAGAGAGACAAAATTGTTTTGAGGGTTAAACAATACAGTTAAGCAATTCTTTCCCTTTAAAATAAACCACTCTCAATCACAGTTCCAGTGAATATTTTTTTAATTAGGCCCACACAAGGTAAGGGCAGAGCTCATGAATGCCTGACACATTGATTATCATTCAGGACCACTTTTTCTTTGCTCTCTCTTTTTTGCTGGGAGCATCTCGGATTTCCATTGTTTTTTACAATGATACAATATCCAGAAGGGTACTGGTAGTCTTGTTTCAAAGTTGGAGTCTTCTCAGAAAGTGGAGGAGAATGCAATGATTGTCACAGCAAATAGAACCTTTACTGTGCTGGCTAAATTAAAATAAATAAAACAGGAGTTACCAAGAGAACCTCAAGATACCGGGTCCATCTTGCTCATTTAACACTTTGAGCTTGGGTGTGGAATTTTATTTCTCTAAATATAATCACTTATCCTCTCTCAATCCTGTGACTAGCATGAAAATTTTAAGCACTCTATTGATATCCATTCTATTGTAATAAGAAACCCTATTAGAGAATTAAAAAGCAAAAATACAAAAAGAACCAGGAGGGTCTAGAGGGATGGCTCAACAGTTAGCAGCAGAATCTATTCTTTCAATGAACCCAGGTTCATTTCCAAGGACCCATATGGCATCTCATCATTGTCTATAACTTCAGTTCCAAGGGCTCTGACACCTTCTTCCAGCCTCTGTGGGCACCAGGCACACACATGGCACAAAGACATACATGTATCATAACTCCCATACACAATAATAATTTTTAAAACCAAAAGAGAGGAGATATTAAAAGAGAAATTACTAATTCAGAGTCCTTCAGTTTTTCATGGAATCATACATTCTATGCATTAGATGGTGGCTTGGCTAAGAGTCTACATATTGCACTGGGTTCCATGCCCTAGAGAAATCAAAGTGGAATTTATGAACACTCAAGGGAGAATTTGTGTCCTGTCATGAGTCTACATGAAGTTCCAGACCCCTGAATAGAAAAGACCTGCATGAGGCCGGGTGGTAGTGGTGCATGCCTTTAATCCCAGTACTTGGAAGCACTTGGGAGGCAGAGGCAGGCAGATTTCTGTGAGTTCAAGGCTAGCCTGGTCTACAAGAGTTAGTTCCAGGACTGGCTACAAAGCTACAGAGAAATCCTGTCTCAAAAAACCAAAAGAAAAAGAAAGGAAGGAAGGAAGGAAGGAAGGAAGGAAGGAAGGAAGGAAGGAAG